GTGTGTGTGTGTGCGTGAGTTTATGACGCGACACTATGCAAGCGGCAGCCAGTAAGCCGACTGAGCTCTAACCCCTTCCGCCCTCGTCTGCCAGGCTCTGGCAAGTGTTTGCCCTTCTGCTACACGGGTTGTGAGAAGAGGAAGTACGTGGCTGTCTATGTGTGTGTGTTTGTGTGACGTCATTGGAGAAAGACAGTGCTGTCCTGGCTGATCAAGCTGTCTTTCGGAATGAGTTGCAAGCATTTTTTTCGTCATCAGCTCATCTCACCCTTTTCACGATGATTTGCACCAATAGCATGCAAATAGTCTGAGCACGCTCGTATAGCTCAACCGTACGACAGACGTTTGGGCAACTTTTGCACTGACGAAAAGTAAGGGGTGGAGCTGGGGGGAGTTAAGTGTGCTTTGCAAGGAATGTCAACCTTCAGCTTTTGCCTGTTTAAGATCAGATCCAGCCAGAATTAGCTTTTTACAGGTACCACTCAGATTTTTGCACGTTTTGCTGCATTCCATGTGCAATGCACGTGATCTAGTAATGCTCTCCACATTACTATTGCTGAGAAAAACTACCTTTTTCTGTGAAGCGCAGAAAATGAGGATACAATGTCAGACTTCTTGGTTTAGTGGACTTGCTCCTTCCTTGCCACTAAACTCCCATGACAAGGATCGGAAGCGTTTGATTGCGTGGTTTTCTAATTGCGGTTTTACTATCGATAGTGTTTCAACTGAGGCGTTCCCTCTTCTCTGTCGAGTTATCACGAGAAGGAAACTTATTGACTGCAAATCTCAGTGACCTATTGATAAATGCCTTAAAATTTGCGAACCTATTGTGACGTTGATGAGACAGCTATGCTTTTGACGAAGCATAGCTCTCAAACCCAGAGAATTACATTCACAGTACAATTTTTCGGATTTGTTACAGACCCAGATGTCAGTGGAAGAATATGAGGCTATTTTCCTTTGGTCTTTGAGCTAAACTCTAGGACTCTTGCAAACATTCCTGCAGTGATGACTACAATGACTATCTGTAACTTCGCTGTCATAGTGAAGCAGCCAACAGTTCAGCCCCAGCACGGAAAGCCTCGAATCTAAATCCGTGCCCAGTTGGTTACTGTTTTGATGGTTATGCTGAAGTCATGGGTACTGTCTGCTGCGATTATACCTATTCATGAGAAAGTGGTCTCCCTGGTTTGGTCTGCTTATGGGTTGAAGAACAGTCCTCTAGTTTAGTTTTAAAACCCCATCCTGGAGCATTCGCAGGATTGTAGTAAACAACGCCAGCTTTAGTCTGAACTGTGGATTTCAGTAAGAGTTGATTACATAAACTTGTGCTTTCCTTTTTATTCACGCACAAAGTCATAAATGTTTCGATTTCGTATCTGCGCACACATCTTCCTTGGCGTGTAGTCCTTCTTTCTGTATAGTTCCGTCGCACAATAGGTTGAACCAGAAGTTCTGCAGCACTTGCAAACAACTAGATTTTCATACGAAAATGTATTAGACAAATCTATACCTTAATTTTGGTAACAAAATCAATAACATATGTTCAAAATAAAGTCTGTCGTTCTCACTAATTTTCTGCTACCGATGTACAAGCATTCGGATTGGTTTAGAGTACCGTTCGAAGGATTCTTTGCAGACTTCTTCAACTCCCTTAAATGACTCGAATCGTTGACCTCACAAGAAGCGCTGCGGCATCGGGGCTGCAAGCAGGATGTGGTAAAACCTCGACCCCTTCCAATTATTCGGACTGGTATTGCCTCATTTTTCGCAGTGAGTTTGGTATTGTCCTGGTGGAACAGAGTCCGTTCTCGATGAACCAATACTCGGTCCTAATGTTTAAGCTTGTCGTAGATCTGGTCCCGTTGTTCGCAGTAAAGATTGAAGTTGACGGCACGGCCATTTGGAGCACATCTTCGAAATCCCACCAAACACACATAATCCCCTTCTTGCCGAACCGATCTTGACCCGTTACTGATGAAGGAGCCTGACGTCTTGCAACCCATTTCTTTTGTCGGTTGTGATTGACCAGGTAAATCCATTTTCATCAGACGTCACTATGCGCTCCCAAAATCGATTGTTCGGAGAATTTTGTAAGAATTGGCGGTAACTTCAAACGCGTCGATTGGCTTGTGCTTTTGTCAGGTCATGTGGCTTTTGATGGGGCTTCCTATGGACAAAATTAATTTGATACAAGTGTGCCAAAGCCGTTTTGCTAGCGATTCCAAGTACTGCTTGTGCAGGGAAGTTGATGTGTGTTTGGGCGTGTCTCTAAGTTCTCTTTACGCGCCAACCAACACAGAATTTTCTTACCACTAGGGATCCTCGCTGGCCAGAGCCAAACCAGCGACCTTTGCACATAAGACTAGCTGTCTTGTTCGAAGCTCTGTTTGTTTCTACCTGTTTCGATAGTTTATGATGGACTTGTGGCGTCGTGATTCCCCTATACGGAGCTTCACGCTAGGGCAACCATTGCTTCCGGTCCTATCGACAGCTACTCTTTGCGCAATGCCTTACTTCTGAACTATAATAGTAGCGATCTCTATTACTTTCTGTCCGTTTCGAATAAGTATGCGGACCCCGAGACATCAGTACTTTAAAATTGTGTATACGTGCTATCCCTTCCGCGAAAACATTTTTATTTGACATTTTCCCGATGGCGCAGGTAGAAATTTAAGTTTGTGCATCTTCACTACAAAGTAAGGTCGCATTTTCTACTGCACTGTGGCTTACTGGTAAAATACACTATGTACGCATACGCCATACTGTGAGTGTGGTTTTTCTAGGTGACTAAAAAGATATGTAAGCAAAAGTCATTACGCTATTTTGTCATAATTAACTTAAGATTATGTGTACCAATCCAGTTTGACAGTATATTCAAATGTTTTGTCAGTGTTACCGCATACTTTTAGAAATACTTTATTACTGTTCAATGACCCAGGGATTCCTGTGTTGAGTTATCCACTGAGCTAAGGTGCATTTAGTCACAGTATTTTTCACCTACTTATGTTTCTTTTTTCCTATATCATTCTTTCTTTAGTCTTTTACCAAGGAACAGAAATCCCTTGCTTCCGAATGGCAGACGAAGCTTGTGGATGCCCTGGGTCCGGCTCCTCTACGCCGGTCCTACAGAAACACACGGCCCTCGCGTCGACCCACTCAGTATCACCCCTCCTTCCGGTCCAACTTTTGCGGTGTCCGTCAGCCCTCATTTTCGCTTCCTTACATGCCCCGTCCACAGTATCGTTTACATAGTCTACCACTGCCGGGTGCGGG